CCCCTGGAACAGCCGCTCCTCGGGACCCAGCTCTGGGCTCCGGCGTCACCATGCCCAGTCTGTGTCTTAAAATTTACAGCTTGGGGGCAATTGAGTCCACCGGTTGCTTTTCCCTCTCCGGGAAGGGAGCCGGGGAGCCCTGAGACACCGAGGCTCCCCTGGGAGCCGCCTGTGCTGCGCGGAGCGTGCGGGGGTGCAGAGTGCCGGGGCGCGGGTGCTCCTAACCCATAGAAGACAGGGCTCCTGGGAGGGAGAACAGCACTGCTTCCCCATCCTGTTTCCTCGCTCCGGTCCTGCCGGCCGCACATCGCCCCGCGCATCCCGCCCGCGCCCTTCCCGCCGCGGCCGGCAGAGGGCGATCCAGCTGCACGAGGGAAATAAATCCACGGAAAAGTCACGAAGTCCCGTGGCAGGAGGGTGTCACGAGGCCTGAGAGTGGGGAAAAGCTAGCCTGTCGGCACCTCCTCAGCGCGGGGGAGCCCTGGCTTGGCTAGTGGCCAGCGGGTGGCCGAACTGAAGGCGCGGGGAATGCCGAGGGCGCCGGTGTTGAATGGGGAGCGGTGACGGGCGGGAGCGGGAATGGCGTGGCTGCCGCGTCCCAGTGCGCCCTGGTTGGGGTGCGAAGGTTGTGGAGGCTGGCGGGGATGGCGATGGACCAGCTCTCTCACCGCCTTCCAGCCACTGGCAGGGCGTTGCCGAGTGGGATACGGCACCTGAGCTGCGAGCTGCCTTTCATCTCCCACACCGGTGCCGGCATCAGGCAGAGTTGCCATCCCAGGTTGATTAAAAAAAAGAAAGTAAAATCAAAACCTTTTTTGAAAACAGAAATATAAGTTGAAGCAATTTGCCAGCCGTGAAATTATTCCAGCAGTACCTGTCGAAGTGCCAGTTTAATAGCTGTGTCTGTCTCCAGAAAAAAAAAAAAAACAAAAACACAAAAAAACCAACCAAACAAAAAACCAAAACACAAAACCAAAAAATACCCAAAAGCAAATGGCAATATTCCTGATAATTCAGTTTCCCTGTTTTGACTTGGTGGGAAAAGTACTCACTACTATTAGACAATTAAATAGTCAACACTGAATTGAACTGTAGGTGTCTGGGAAGTGTTTAACAATCTTTCTGGGAAGACACAATAACAATTCTTATATAGTCACATCAAGCCCTTGTGAACCTCTGTAGATAATGAGTTCCCGAGGGACCAGCCCAAAGCTTAACAGAAGAGAAAGACAGAGCACTTACTAATATATGCATATACATAATTCATATCGGAGGGATATAAATATAAGTGCAGGCATTTAAATCTGATATATTTGCCTGATTGAACAAATATGCACTATAGGAGTTCATTTATGTTAAGCTGATTTAGAGTATAATTTCACTTATAAATATATCCAGGACTGGACAAATGGAGTGAGAGAGAGAGTGTGTGTGTGTGTGTGCACATGTGTGTGCGCAGGTGTGGTAGCCAAACCTCCTATTTGTGTTCATGAATAGACAGAAAGGCAACAACATATGAAATGGAATAGAGAAAACAGGAATGATGTCAAGTTATTTAAGTCAGCAGTGCTGCACCATCTGTAACTTGGGTAATACACTTTTGAACACCAGATTTTCCTAATTGTTTGAAACTGTTGGCAAGTTTCAATCCTCGGTAAATATATGTTAATTAACGGCATTTTCAAATTGTTTTGAGCAGAGATAAAAGACCAGACAACCTGTTCAGCATGAGCAAATATGACATCAGGACTCTGAGGTGAGTTGCCTGCAGAAACGCAAACTATGTATTACTTCACAGATGTGGCACAAAGAGGAAAGAATTAAGGTTTAATTTGTGGTTTAATTTGTGGTTCGACCAGTGTTTTTGTCAAGTGCTGGGTCTAGATGTGCATCATGGATGAGTAAAGTGTCAGCCACAGGAGGGCCTGGTGCCACCATCACATGTGGGGTAAGGCAGAGGCTGCTCAAGCACATGATTTCAGCCTTAGATCACCAGAAAGAAGAGTACTTTGACTGCACCAGAGCTTGAGTGATATTGCAAGAATCCAAGTACACATGCAAAACAAACTTAAATCTAATGTGAACCCTGCAATGCAGTAAATGCTAATATAGGTGTATCCCTGAGGTGGAAGCTGGATGATACCATAGTTTAGACACTTCAGGCTTTTTAAAATTTGTTTTCTGGCAAGAGTCTGTTAAAAGAGTTGAGTTTCTCTAACCTTTTCCCCTTGATAATCAAGATATCTCTATCCTCAACTGCTTTCTCTATTTATTTGCCAAACATTTTCTCCTGTTTAGCTGAGGCAGCAAAAGACAGTGTCTAGCTAAGCATACACTTTGTGCTGTTCCAGCACAAAGCTGAGAGTTGGGTTTGGAGCAAGAAGGTAGCATGAGAACAGAGGGATGGAGATATTTCCTTATATCTATTCTGCAGTGGGCTTGGCCAGCATCACCAGCGTAAGTAGTCAGAGCACAAGTCATGGTGCTAATGTCTCAATCTCTCTCTGCTGCGAACTGGAGCAGAGACTGTCTGTGAGTGACAGTGACAGCAAGCCCAGCTCTTTCCTGCAGCAGTAAGCATGCAGGTGCTGTGCAATACTTCCTTTCTGTCCGTGTGCATGTGACTTTTGTCTCTACAGGATATGTTTTCCTTGGCAATGTCACATAAAATTTGCAGTAGCATGGTTGTCACATGGACAGCATGGCAATATACATATTTGATGCCTTTTCTTTTTAGCCAAAAACTCCCCATATGGATATTACTCAGTGTTATTGTGTGGCTTTGGATTCCAAGACATTTAGGCTGAAAACTAAATATAGCACCATATACCGCTAAGTATATTGGGACTTTAGACCTTGAGGGATAAAGCCAGGTGACTATCCTGTGGGACCAGGTGGCTTCATGTCCAACTGTGTAACAAGGAATACATTCTTTCATTTCTGAGTATTTCATCTTTTTCTGATTATTACTCTGTAAGTTCTTTTTACTTTTGTCTGGACCCTGACACTTATGGGTAACATTCTGTGCTGTGTTGGGTCAAATTAATGTGGGTTTTTTATGTGAAACTGCTGGAGTGGCAGTCTGGAGGATTACAGTGAAGTAGGAATAATTGGCAGAGGACAGGAGGAAAGGGAATGGTATGGTTTCCTGGAACTAACAGATGAATTAGTAAATAGGTTATTAGGACCAACTGCATGAATTGTAGATGTAAAAGCCTTGAATATATTTTAAGACAGCACATTGTTCTGCTGCTGTTTTTCTGGGTGTTGATTCAGACATTATATTTTTGTCATTTAGTTTTTAAAATTATTTTTAATTTTAATTCAATATTTTCTATCAAAAGGTCTAAATACTTTCATGGTAGTCTCTTTCCTCTGAATTTTCATCCCACTTGAGAGGAAGGTAAACTCTGCTTGGAGTCAACCCAAAAACCAAGGGAGAAATTTTGGTCTTGGGCAAGTGAATAGGAGTAAGGAATCTGGGTGCTCTGCCTGAAGAGTGCTGACCTCCTCTCACAAAGCTGTGCCTCAAACAAATATATTAGTCCTTGACTAACATAACTAAAGAAGGATCCAGTAGAAGCAGATCAGCAGAGCTGGTGCTGAGAATGTTTGAACACTCACAGGCTGCTCTGCCGTGGAAATAAAGGAGGAACAACTGGGAATGACCATAGAATTATAAACTAGTTTCGGTTGAAAGGGACCTTAAAGATCATCTAGTTTCATCACTTCTGCCATGAGCAGGGACAGCTTTGACTAGACCATGTTTCTCAAAGCCCCATCCAACCTATCCTTGAACACTTTTAGGAGTGAGACATCCACAACTTCTCTGGACAAACTGTTCCAGTGCCTCACCACCTTCACAGTAAAGAAGTCTGTTTCAAAAGTGTACTCCTGGTGTGAACTATGTGCACTAATGTAAATTCACTCTTTGCCTTAGAATAACCCATTATTCTGCAGCTGTGTGAAGAAGGAAAATAAGAGGAAAAATCTCATTTCCTGGCAGAAGGGTTGGATTGTTTAGAAAAAT